ACCCACCTGTAAATCTGCCAAGATGTGACACAGAATACCCGCCTGTTAATCTGCCAAGACATGACACGGAGTACCCACCTGTTAATCTACCAAGACGTGACAGGGAGTACCCACATGTTAATCTGCCAAGACGTGACACGGAGTACCCATCTGTTAATCTGCCAAGACGTGACACGGAGTACCCATCTGTTAATCTACCAAGACGTGACAGGGAGTACCCACATGTTAATCTACCAAGGCGTGACAGGGAGTACCCACCTGTTGATCAGCCAAGATGTGACACGGAGTACCCACCTGTAAATCTGCCAAGACGTGACAGGGAGTTCCCACCTGTTAATCTACTAAGAATTGACAGAGTGTACCCACCTGTAAAACTGCCAAGACGTGACATAGAAAACCAGTCTGTTAATCTACCAAGACATGACAGGAAGTACCCATCTGTTAATCTGCCAAGACATGCCAGGGAGTACCCACCTGTTAATCTGCCAAGATGTGACACGGAGTACCCACCTGTAAATCTGCCAAGACGTGACGGAGAATACCCGCCTGTTAATCTGCTAAGACGTGACATGAAGTTCCCACCTGTTAATCTATCAAGAAGGGACAGAGAGTACCCACCTGTAAAACTGCCAAGACGTGACAGAGAAAACCTGTCTGTTAATCTGTCAAGACATGACAGGAAGTACCCGTCTGTTAATCTGCCAAGACATGACAGAAACTACTCACCTGTTAATCTGCCAAGACGTGACACAGAGTACCTACCTGTTAATCTGCCAAAACATGACAGAAAAAACTTGTATGTTAATCTGCCAAGACATGACAGGAAGTACCCACCTGTCATTCTGACAAGACGTGACAGGGAGTACCCTGATATTATGTCTTGAACGTTTATTGCTAGCTTATATACTGTCGTAAACTAAAATTCAAATGTTACATACAAATAAAGCGTACTTTTGATTTCCCAGGACACCCTATTGTAAATTCAATACATGGATGTGTGTCTTCTCTTTATCATTCTCTCGTATTGCCATCGTTGCATTACGCAATACGCCAATACTATAATATAAATTATAACCTCCGGTATTATCACTTCTGTATATTACATAGTTTTCGCAATAACACATTTTATTAGTTATAGTCACTGGAATTAACAATCACCATTTCTGTTTCATGGTATATTCAAAAACTGAACCTTTTCTCAATGATTGAAATTTATACTAGTGATATTTTATGACCCATGATTTAAATCTTTGTGCTGCGTAATTCAACAGTCATTAATCGATGATGATCAAGAGAATTATTTTGGTGGTTTCTTGGTTTATTTCTATTCATTTTGAATTTGTTAATGTATACACGTATATAATCGCAATTATATTATTACAATATATATATTCAAATTAATAGTCAGCGTAACGAAAAGACTCTAATTGGTTTTATGTGGTAATTATGTTTTAGAATCGGAAAAGGCCAAAGTGATAATTATGTATTCCACTGACACGCATATCACACTGCCATTTCTATATTATCGAAGAGGATAGTCATTATGTGTTATGTAAGAATGTAAAAATAAGAACATTATGTAGTTTTGTAAATAAAACGCGAAACTCATTCACATTTATGTGATTAGATGAGAAATTTGACCTTTTACATATTTAAAAATATAGCCATCCTCTATAATTGTTGCACTGTTAATTTTTTATATACTTATAATTTATTTAATTAGAACAGTTATTCATACGTATACACTGATATCAAGATAGTATTTGTAATGGATCATTTATATAGCATGGCCACCATTCTTATCTGAATTAAGTTTAGCCATTCCCAAGTGAATTTTTGAAAGATAAATAAAGCCTAATTTGAAGGCGGGTTACCATGGAGAGTAATCACGTGAGATATTTTTTAATCAGTTTTAATTATGAATGCTGGATAAAAGATTCCAACTCTTATATTCTACAGATGAAAATTAAAATTTAACCAGGCACTGGGTACGATAAAGATGACACAACGGCTTAGAATAATAACAAAAATCAAGTATTTAAAACGTACACCATGTACACAGTTAGGCCAGCTTAGTTGTATTGCAACATAATGTACGATTTCGTTTTCCACGCATTATAAAGAGATATACTCGTATATTAATCCAAAACTTGTTGGATATCTTGAAGTTGATAAAAGAATACTTCACCAACAATCGTACTAAACAATGTGCTGGTGTTGCATTTTTCACCATTGCTATAGAACGTTAAATACATATGCCACGTTGATGACAACCAAAATGTCATATCATTTGTACGATTGATTCCAAAGAAGAAGATTTTTAAACGTTTTTTTCTATTTTTAGTATATCAAATATAGTGACAAAAGTAATGTGATCGCTAAATTGTGTTACTATTAACTCGTTAAAACACAGGGCAATGCAACAACAAAACGCATTTTTTGTAATTCAATTTTGAGTGAGTAATTAAGTATTTATTAGTTCGTCGTGATTCAGAGATGCCCGCCTAATCACGTGACCCATATTGTTGATCTGCACTAAGTCTTATATGAATACTATGACAAATGTTATTCGAAGAATCGGTTCTCTAATGAGGGTATGGAAAAATCGGTAGAATAATAATAATCAACATAAAAAAGTAATGATTAGAAAAACAATATTAATGCCATATAATATCTTTAAATGTCACTCGTTTTGTTTATTTTCACTAATTTTGAAATTGACATATCAGAGGCGGCGACACGATTTTTTTGCATAAGGGCGAGATCTGCGAATTCTGCCATGACTATTTAAATAACTTCAATTTGGATCGAACTCACTAATGGGTTATCATTAAATTATCTTGGTTTGGTACCGGTCAAATCGTCTTGCTATTTTCATTAGCAAGTTTTGAATTACTTAGTTGTGAGGAAAAGATCAAGTTTGAACATTTAATTAAAAAAATACAATCCTCAATAATTTATAAAATAAATAAATACTGTATAACTTTTCCCTGGCATACAAGCAGCTTGTGCATTTCAAGACTTGGGGTTATATTTCATAATTTATCACGTTGAAGCATTATGTTCGTGCTGAAGGTTTTTACACAGTAATGGTGTATAGCTAAATCCCAAGCTGGCAAATAATGTATACATATTACATGAACTGTTGTCGCTATGACTACCAGTGTATGAGTCTGAGTGATAATGCAATCCATTCTAAGTCTTGTATTAGTCGAGGCAATAAAATGATACAGGAAGTCACTAGATGTATTCCGCGTGATCTTCCATAAATTCGGAATATCAATCGTCTCGGCATAGAAAGTGAACGGCTCTCTAGTTCTACATGAATCATTGACATCTTTTGAATCCTAGTATTTGGAAAGGGGAATAAGCACGAAATATCACTACGTAAATTGAAATTGGGAACTGTTTTTAATGCATTCTATATACTTACCTTAACAGTGACAATATATACATTGACATGCTACACGTTATATTATACACAGGGGCCCTGTTTCACTTTATTTGTAAGTCTGTAACTGTTACACAGTTTTTATATGATTATTGTGATGCCGATGACACAATTATTTATTCATAGTCACTTTAATTATTTGTCTCAAAAGCATTTTGTAATCGTTTATTGAATGCGACACTAAACATACGACTCGATTGGACCATGGTGTTGACTAGTCGGGAACATTGTATCATGTGTCTGTGCACGGTAAGAATGCAATGTTGTTCAGTAGTGAAAGTAAATGTTCGATGGAAAACAGATTACTTAGACCGCGATTCTGCCATGTGATAGTATTCAATCATTGGTAGTCCGGTGACTGTTGCATAAAAGATTGCCCACTGAACAACACGTTGTAACCACAAATTTCTCCGGTGCGCCTAGAACCACTCAAAACTCGCTCGGTTTCACCAATAGATGCACCATGACAACTCGCCGACTAACACACACGCTATAAGTACATCGCCTGAGTTAATGTACAAGAGTAAATTGCTAGAGGCAACTCAACTGAACATAAACTCATCACTTCCAATGCACATTTGTTGTAACCGAGATTAACATCAATAAGTGGTTCTTGTATTATCTGGAGATATTTTAGATTCAGGGCTTTTCGCTTAATCTAGAGTAATGCTACTGTATCTATTTGCATAACATACATCACAGTTACATTCAATATGCACGATGTTGTTAATTTCAACATATAGCATTGTTTGATATTTTAGCAACTAATGTAACACTTATTACCATTATGAATAAGCACGAAATTCACTATGTTACAGAATTTGTATGTAATCTACTCGATTATTGTATTTTATTCGCATGCGTATTACACATGGAAATCACCTTGAATAAGACGTGCTCGGTCGCGTTGAAACTTTAATACATAATTTAAGTTATTTTGTGTGTGTCAGGATCGGATGTAAGGATTGGCGTTTGCCATCTTATGTGTATAATATTACTCTGCTACAGTAATACTCACGCAGCGCGGTCAACAAGCAATATACTTCAACCGTTTATCATCACTAAATGGCAAAATTGCGTGCTGAGAGAAGGATACTTTGAACAGAAGACACCGTCGGTAGTTAACGCTGGCGCCTACATTAAAGCTAATTTAGTACTACGACTATGTTTTGCGTGGTAACTTATTCATTTATCACTGACAAAGCAGACACACATTTATGCAAACAGATGAAGCTATACACATTTTCAATGCGTAAAGAAAATATGATGTAGATGTCACTGACTCTAATAAACTAAGAACGATATATTATATTATGTTTAAAGGAAAATTCCCCGAGTTTACATCTAAACGTAACCAGAGATAAAATGGCGATGGGATTTGTCTTCGATAAAACTCATACCGTGGTTAATTTATAATTGTACACCATATAAACATTTATTATTCTTACATACAGCTGAAATCGCCTGGCCCCGTGAATAGTGAGAAGGTGTTTGATGTTAAATAACCCAAACGTGCCTCATCGCAACTTCATTTGTGCTGTTATCTGGAATGCCTACGAATACTGAAATTAAGTGAATTTAAGTGTTGATAGTATCTATGTGAGCTATGTGGATCAATAAGACTAATAGCCGCCTTGGTATTTGCTGGATATTCTACATAGTATACAATACTAAACAAGATTAATTAAACAACCTTAAACATTTATGACAGATCATACCAAAGGTCAATGTGGGAAGCATACACAATGTTAATCACTATTATCACGTCTATAACTGTTGACGCTTATCAGTTGCATTGTGGGTTGGTAAATCGTCTATCCAAAAAACTTAAATACACAAAACAATCACTCACAACGTAGTCAACGGAATTTCTCTCACAATGTTCGATTGACAAATTACAATCGACAAAATAATTCTGGTATGCGTCCAATCTTGTTCGGCAGGACGTACCGTAATAAGAACTGTTTATTGCATCAACTCCTATTATATGACCGTTTGAGTCTATTTTACATAGATCTTCACTGGTAATGACTTCATACTAACATATAATGAGACGGTTTAACTAGGAAACAGCAGGCAGAATCAGTAGTAGTATCAACTGAGTCGCCGTACTGCCCCTTAAATAACCTTCGTATTATACATTTACCGTTCCAACTGCTCGGTGCCTGAAGCCCATAAACTGTCAACATGGTGACAATTATTTTTTCTCGCTGTACACTTAATTACTACACTTGTTTAATAAATCTAATTTTCATCTAATTTTATGCTTATCTCATGTATCCAATTTGCAGCCTCCAAAGCCTGAACACCAATGCAGAGATTGTTTGTGAGCGCGTATACAAGATCGTAAAGCGTTCTTTCTCATTTGCATAAACGTTCATAGTGCATAAACCCCAATTACTGTTAGTGTATCGCATTGCAATTAAGTAATAT